AGCGGGGGCTCCACAGATGTGCCACTTGGGGGTGGGGTGGAATGGTCATCTCCCATCCACACAGGCAGGGAGGAGGCCACAGATCCCCGACACGGCCTCAGAAGCAGTGGGGTGGGTGTGTGGCCCGGAGAGGCAAACAGGATACATTTTATTGGCATTTTCCACAACTTTGGCGCTCTTTACTTCTGTCCCCTGTCTCCCAAGACTTTTAGAAGATAGGAACGCTCCTTAGGATCTTGGAGCAGATGATTGGAGCACATCCCTACTAGGCGTGGGGCCTTTCCTAAGGGTGAGGCCTGGGGGCCCAGGGCCCCACACCAAGGTGGTCTTGAGCAAATCACTCAGCTCTGGGATTTCCCTTCCCTGCCAGCCACTCCTTGATGTCCTTACAACAACCAGAATTAATTCCCGAAGAAAAATGTCTTAAAGTCAGAAAAATGCCCTTGCACTGACAGGTGTGGTGGCCTGTCACAGCATTTGGGAGCCTGCTCCATTTGCCTGACAGTTTACAGAAAAGAGCAAGCAGCCCTTGGACTGTGAGCTCCGATGCTTCTCTCTCCGAGATCACCCTTCCCGTCCTCCCCCACTCGCTGATAAGTGGCCAGACATCATCCCCCATTTTACAATTGAGGCAATAAGAGGGTACACGCCTGCCCACGGCCAGGGCCAGAACAGGACTGAGTCTCGTTGGCTCTGAGGTTCATTTTGCCCCTCCATACAGCCAAATTACTACCTCTGCAACTGCCTCTGACCTCAGCTTCCTCTGCTGTAAAAACAGGATCATACCATGTCTGTAAAAGGTGGTCACTCCTGGCGTTCAGATTGGATCATCTCAGGAATCAGCGAGAAAAAGCTTTGTACATTCAGCAAAAAGTTAGAAAGCAACATCCACCAGCGGCTGGACTGGCCATGGATGAGCCGTCGATGAAACAGTGGAATGCCTGCACCCTCCCTACCTGTGATGCAAACTTGAGCAGAGGAATCCCCGGGCGGGACAGGCCTCCAGATCCACTGAGTCAAAGCAGTGTGGGGCAATCTGCATGCATCCTTCTGTGTGGCAGTCCCTTGGTTTGACTGTGAGCTTCTAATGAATTTTATACTGGACTGAAATTATGTATTGCCATTGGAAACATACAGATTTTTTTCCCTCTCACAAATACTCGTTTGGAAATTATTTGAACCTATTATGTTCAGGGAAAAAATCCATAGTGATGCTCTCGATTGAGCCTTTAATGCCCTTGTGGAACTTGAAGAGATGGAAGCCATGTTAGCAGCACACCTCTTGCTGGTGCACTGCTAGCTGGACACACGCAGGAAACATGGCAGTTGTCACTGGAAGAAGGTATATTTTAGGCTCTTCGCTTTTCAAATGTGAGTGAAGTTTAGGAAAAATCTATGCCAGTGTTTTTGACCAACAAAAACAAGATCATTGATTTTCATCTGTATTTCATAGTCATCATATTCCAAAATGATTCAGCACTCCATCTTTAATCCATATACAGTGCCTGGCATGTAACTGGTGTTCACTCATTGCTGATTAGATGAGTAGTGAATAAATTTATTTGCAAGTCAAGACAGGAGAGCAGACTAGATCTTTAAGAAACAGGAACAAAGACATTTTCTATTTATTGATGAAGGTGTTATTGGATTAAAAGTCTGCAGAAAATTGTCAATGCACATAGGCCCGTGGGCTTCCTTTCTGGCCATTTCTTATCAGAGAGTTCCAGGTGAGAAGGCCAGGATTGACCAGAGGGAGGAAGGACAGTGCTCTCCAGAAAGAACTGTCCACAGCCCTCAGCGCCCAGAGAAGAGTGGCCATCACGCTTGCCAGGACACCCAGGTGGCCTGACCTAGGAGAAATCGAAATACCAGCAAAGATACTGCGGGTGAGGAGACAGCCTCTGAGTACACATTCACACAGTCAGGCTAAGATTATACGCAGAGTGTGTCCTGATGGTGATATTTAATTCTAAAAATGGGACAGTCGGCAGTTCACCTTCTAAATCCAACATCACAATCATCTTGAGTTATTTTTGTAGTCAAGTAGGTGAAAAAGTATAATTGAATGAGGCGGTAACTGTAGTTCAAGTTTCTAGAAACATTTGTATTTTCATCATGTTCTACTCTAGAATATTTTTGTATGAACAAAGCAAATTAATATTTCTGTGAAATTTATGATATGATAAAAGGAAAACAATTAAAAAAAAAGACTTCTAACATTCTGCCAGATTTCAGCAGATCAAAAAGAGGAGACGATATGTTAGAATACTGTAAAATTTTTGTGAAAACAAATTTGTATCTGTAAGGGCATGTGTTGGTATCACTGCATCCCCATGTGAAAGGCCAAATGGAGTTCAGTTGCTGGGTGACTTTTTTATCTGTTTAACATAGATGTTTAATTTGACAAATTCATTTTTGAAAGTTTAGATGTGCAATGTCATATAGCACAAACAATACCCAATTCTGTCCTCCACTGTATCGAGGCACAGGTTCAAACCTGAATGATCCACAATCCTCAGTAGGGTCGTTTCTTAATGATTCAGCCCTTGCTGACCACATGAAACTATGTGGACACATTTACCTATTTTATCGTTTTGGGATATGGTTTCTACACATTGCTATCAATAAAACATGACATAGGGCATCGTAGATTAACTTCAGTTTGTACCATTTTAACCAGTAATATAGCTTTATATTTGAGCACCAAACGCAACTATTTATGAGCAATAGACTACGTATCATTAGTTCAGACCTGCTTTTCTTCCAATATTTAGAGTGATAATGACATTACGGAACATTTTGGCATTAGCTTGATTCTCACTGTCTACGAGAAAAAGTCATACATGTGTTATCGTGACTGGGCTTTTGTCTCCTGGGCTTTTGTTTCATGGTTCCTTTTGGAAGGGCTTGGTCGGATCTTGGAGGAGGGAAAGGAAGCGATGGGCATGCTCTTTTACATAAATATGAAACCCCCCTTTGCTGCCTGTGCTGCTCATTAGCTCCTTAGACTTATGTATTTTGGGAGCATCATTTCCCCAGTGTAGTATTTTCTAAAGTTGAAGAGAAAAGTGAAGAACACAGGAAAAAACCCCAAAGTGGGGAGACTGGACCAAGCACAGGACTGACAGCACCACTCAGTACCATTGGGACCTTGTGCCATTGCTCGAAGGACATCTGGATTCATTTCAATCACTAAAGAGGTATTTTAGCCTTTCAGAGACTCATTCACATGACCAGATGCAGATTCTTACAGATGCCTCATCTCACAAATAAGTTGGGAAACGTCCTCCCCCACCTGTCAATCGTTGCCAGAATTCTATTCTTGAAACAGTTAACCTTGGTACTAGAGCACTCATTTAAGGGTGTACTTTGCAGAATGATGTTGCCACTCCCCAACTGGAAGTTTTCTTGGACGGACAGTATTGGAGAATATCATCCTTGTAATAATGACTTTAAGTTCTGATCGGCTGGCTCTGTGTCTGGAGTAATTTTCCAGCTGTAGAAGAGATCTCAAAGCTTAGATGTGTTTACTTGCTCTTTTTTTTATTTAAAAAGAAAAACCCTCTATTGACTGGGATATGTGGAATACGGGAGTATGTGGCTAGCATGTGCAGCACCCACAGATGATGACACCATCTTGTAGGGTAAAACGCCAAGAAAATGACTCTGACGTCTAAATCAATTTTATTCTATGTGAGAACCATTCAGACTGCTACTCAATCCTGTTTCCCATCTTCAAATAATTTTCTTTTCTGTTCCAAATACTTGCATGGTATCTTTCAGCGTTTCATTTTTGGATGCTATGCTGTAACTCATTATCCTTTAAAACAGCTAACACAAATTCATACATTCAGTTTGCATTGGGGAGTTACGTTCTTCCTCACAGAATTGCACACAGGAAAAGCAGGAAAAGATATTTCAGAAGTTTTGTAAATCTCCTTTTTTGGTGAATCAGTATAGCATACCTGCTAAGGATGCCAGTATTGGAACTGGGTTACACTGGCTCTGATATTTGTGAGCTGTGCAGCCTTGGTGAGATTATTTAATATTTCTGTGCCTCAATTTCTACTTCTGTAAAATGGAAATAGTTCCCCCTACATAACATTGTCATGAGGAATGTGTTAGTCTATGTAACATTTACAACAGGACTCTTGGCAAATGTTGGCTACTGTTACTATTAGTCATAGTTATCGTGTAAATTGTGCTGGAAAGATCCAAGCACCGTTTCATATCGGGACTATTTCTTTGCACATGTAAGCTATTCTTCTGCCATGTATATTAACAAATTACCTTTGAAAAAAGATCTATAACATTGACTAGAAAACAATACCACAGTTATCAAAATCTTGGTCAATAATGGCATTTTTATTTGCTGTGTTCACTTTAAGTCTGGTCTTCTCAGGAAGAATTTTTATTACTAAGAGTGCTTTAATGTGGCACTGCAGTTGTATCATTTACATGGGTTTTAAAAGTCTTATAAATTCCAAGAGTGATTTTGCTTCTGAGAGTGACAGGTTCTCTTATGTTATTAATTTTTTTTGTTTTTGTTTTTGTTGTTGCTGCTTGTAGTTGAGGTTTCACTTTGTCACCCAGACTGGAGTGCAGTGGCACGATCATGGCTCACTGCAGCCTTGACCTCCTGGACTGAGGCGATCCTCCTACCTCAGCCTCCTGAGTAGCTGGGACTAGAGGTGCACAGCACTATGCCCAGCTAATTTTTTTTTATTTTTTGTAAAGATGATGTCTCACTATGTTGCCCAGGCTGGGTAACAGCCTCGAACCCTTAGGCTCAAAGAGTCCTCCTACCCCTCCCAAAGCGCTGGGCCTCCAGGCACGATCCACCGCACCTGGCCCAAGTTGTTCATTTTTATAGCGGCACCCCGGGCCCCGCTTGCTCCAAAGAGGAAGAAGATTGGGACCTGCATCGGGAGGAGCAGTCGTTCGGGCTCCTCTCTGACGTGAGCAGGGTACTCACCCTTTCTCTTCCGGTTCCGTTGCAGCTGGCGGTTCCCCACAACGACGAGTGGACCCGATTTGCCAGGACCCTCGTGGAGATCCGTGCCAACAGAGCCGACAGCGAGGAGGAGGGCGCCGTCGAGTTGTCTGCCTAGAGGCGGCGACCCCCACCGCAGCCCCCGCCCTGTCCTAGACGCGCGTCTGCAGTCAAGTCCGCTGTGTTCAGTGTCCCGTCTTCGGTATCACTGTGCCGTGATATGGAGTGCTGTGTTGTGCCGGTCTGGCGTCAAGTGTTCCACATGTTCCTGCCACGCTGTCCACTGACCTGAAATTCACTGCAGCATTTCTGTCTTTACATTTCTGTCTCAACGACGAAAGGGGGTGGGGGGTGGGGGGTGGGAATCTACGGGTTAGCCATTGCCTTGTACCTACTTAGTAGCTCTATTAATAGCTGGAACGCTCTGGCTCGCTGTGTGCCTGACGCACTCCTGGCGCGGCCTATTAAATCCATATGAACCAGGCATGATTGGGCGCAGATGTGCCGCCCCGTGCCGGGCGCAGGGCCTGAGACAGCCACGGCGTTTCTCATGGTGACTCGCATTATAAATGGATTTGCTAGAACATTGCTGCTCCTTATTTATTGCAGTGTGCTGCATGGAACGTATTTATTTGAAAGCATTAAAACAAACGATCCTGGGGCATGTGCATAATGAGAGCACTGTATTCTCTCGGCTGCTGCCGAGGTTACATTAAGTTCCAAGTAACAATTACAGTATGCCAGTTCCACTGAGCACGGGAGAGCTTTAGACATTTGTTGCAGTGAACGGAATGAATTTTACTGCCTATTATTTCTAGGTACTTTAACAATATTTCAAATAGAGTTGACCACTGATACTTGTCATTGAAGCTAACACAGTCTGACAAAAGTCTGTGGTTCCTAGACATGACACCAGTATTGCCAATAAAATGCTCCAAACCAGGTCTGCACTCGTGTGAGTCAATTTTTGCTTGGGAAAGCCTGACTTGAGTTCTACTGTGACAGGAGCTGGGAGAGACACATTAAGGCCACGTTCAAGACGGAATGTGAGTTTATTTTAGCAGCCACTCTGGCTAGGTTTAACCAAGACTCCTGCTTTCGTGTTGAGAGCATGTGTGTGTGTGTGAGGAAAGTATCTCCTGTTCTCTTTCGTAAAACCACCCTTGCCCAAAGACCATGTCACACGGTGGAGTAGGGAAGATGGGTCATGATGAGCAAATGCCGAATGTCCCACACATTTCTTTTTTTTATTATTTACATCAGAAACTGATGTTTATTACTATTAGAATAAGAAAGACATCTGTGAACAACTTCAATAATTTTTTTTTTTCAAAAGGTAATCTTTTGCCTTGAGAAAATGAAAATAAGTAGTGACTGAGTCTCGAAAAACTTTTGAAGACAGGCTTTCAACTTTTTGGGAAGGGAATTTACATTGGTGCTTTGTGGGTAGGGATTCCTTGAACTGTAAGGTTTCTTTTATTTTAAAAATAATTCAGCTGGGCTCAGTGGCTCAGCCTGTAATCCTGCGCTTTGGGAGACTGAGGTGAGTGGATTGCCTGAGCCCGCGGGTTCGAGACCCACCTGGGCAACTTGGCGAGACCACTGGCGTGCCTGTGGTTCCAGCTTCTTGGAAGGTTGAGGCAGAAGGATCACCAGAGCCCAGCAGATGGAGGCTGCGGTGGCCGAGAGCAGCCACTGCACTCCAGTCTGGGTGACAGAGTGAGACTCCAACTCAAAAAAAAAAAAAAAGAAAGAAAAAGAATTCTAGGTATGTTGGTTCATACCTATAATCTCAGCAATTTGGGAGACCAAGGTGGGAGGATTGCTTGAGATCAGGAGTTCACGATCAACTTGGGCAACATAGTAGCTTTTGTTTCTTAAAAAAAAAAGATAAAAGATAAAAATTAAAAAAAATTAAATCTCTAAGTGCAATACATTATCTAGATCATGAAATTAACAGAAATTAAAATTTTACAAATGTCCCTGGGTTATTATAGAATAAGCCATGATCACCTCAACGAAGGCTAGAGGGTGCAGAGGCCTGAGTCCCTTCCCTGTGTGATCATATGCAGCGTTACAGAAGCCTGTGCACCTACACCTCTCACCACGGTGGCCTGTTCCCAGGACAGCCCCTGAGTCCTGTGTGGGGCCATCCCGCATTGACCTGGGGCCAACCCTGTGTAACCAACACAATGCAAGGGAACGATGATGTGTGGCTTCCAGGGTGGCTTAGTTCAGGCTGCTGGAACAGAATAGTGTGGCACTCAGATGGAGTAGCTTAAACAGTGGGCAGGTACTTCTCACCATGCTGAAAGCTAGGAAGTCCACAAGGAAGCAGCGGACTGGCAGATCCAGGTGTCTGGTGCAGGCACTCCTCATCAGTCAACGGCCACCTTCTCATGGTATTCCCACATAGTTGAGAGAGAGCAATGAACTCGCTCAGATCTTTTCTTGCAAGGGCACTAATCCTGTTTATAAGGGCTCCACCCTCATGATCCAGTGGCTTCCCGAGGGTCCACCCCCACAAAATTTTCACATTGGAGATTGAAGCTCCAACACATGGATGTGGGGGGAGGGAGCATGAATATTCAGTCTGCAGCCCAGGATGAGGTGGTAAGAAGATGTGTAGCCACCTTGTAGATCCCTGGGCGACTGCACAGGAAGTGTAATTGCCCTGGGACCACCAAGCCCCACAGGAGCTGTCCATGAAGCAGCTGTGTGGATAGAATTCCCAGCCAGCCCAGAGCCACTTAAGTCACCCCAGCTGGTGTCCTAGATGGAATGTGGTGAATCCGTTTCCTATTGCCGAGAACATTGAGGGCTGAAGGCCGTGGCTTCTGCTCTGAAATCCATCGCAGTGTTTGACCAAGGTGATGCTTTTTTACAAGCTATTCTTGCCAAGCTAAGTATGGCAGAAACACAGAGGCAAGCCTGTGCCTGGGAGACATGAGACTTCTCCGAGGTAACTTTGGTTCCAGGACTCCCTGTCAGCATTGCTAGAATGTTCTCAGAACTGTAATGCAGCCTATGTCTGTCCATCCATCTTTTCTTCCTTCCTTCCATCCATCCTTCCTTCCTTTCTTTTTTTTTTTGAGTTGGAGTCTCACTGTCGCCCAGACTGGAGTGCAGTGGCCACTCCCGGCCACCGCAGCCTCGACCTGCTGGGCTCTGGCGATCCTTAGACCTCAGCCTTCCAAGTAGCTAGAACTACAGGTGCATGCTACCATGCCCGGCTATTTTTTTTTTTTTTTATTTATTGTAGAGATGAGGTCTCGTCAAGTTGCCCAGGTGGGTCTCGAACCCATGGGCTCAGGCAATTCACTCACCTCAGCCTCCCAAAGCACGGGATTACAGGCTGAGCCACCAAGCCCGGCCCCTTCCTTTCTTTCTTGCCTGCTCTGTTTCCTTCCTCTTTCTCTTCTTCCCTCTCTCCTTTCTTCCTCCCTTCCTTCCTCTTAACTTTCCCTCTTTTCTTCTCAAGATCTGACCAACATCATTGTCTGAAGGTCCCCCAGCCTAACCTGGCTGGGGATGTGCCATGCCTTGATAAAGGAATGAAGAGACAACATCAAATGAATTGAAGGAACTAGCACATATCAGGAGCCAAAAGAGTAGCTGGGATTGAGTGTTGAGGCGTCTGATCAATGGAGTCAAATATACACTGTATAATGAAGCATCCATTGACTTCGAGGGTTTTTTTGGTGGAAGAAGGGGACGACATGTGATCTTATACTCTGGCAAGGACCCTAGGGGTTAGGGTAGCTCTTAGAAGTCTGTAATGCTGCAGCCTATCCTCACGGGAGTGAAAAGGCCTAAGCTGCCCTGGTTGATGGCACAAGAAGGAGTAGAGAGATTGAGGGAAATCGATTTATTAGCACGGGTATGTTCTTTGGAGCCAGAAGACACACCAAAGGGCTATGGTACATAGAAACACCCAGAATACATACCCTTCGCCAAAGCCAACAGCTGTGAGCTGGTGAGAAAGGCATAACATGTCTAGGAAGCTTAATGGTGGCTTTCCTCTGAAGGTCAGGGCTGATGGTAGGAGAGGCAGTCACAGAGCGGGGCTTGTGATGTCCATGGGGATGATGAGACCCCTGAGTAATAGTGGCTAGGTGGTGGCAGTTAACCACCAGAGGCCAGGAAGCCATATTCACTGAAGCGGCAAGCTGGATCAGAGGAGTAGCCAAGAGGCTTCGCCCATAGGGAGGTTCTGGGATTAATTAAAAGAATATAGCATCCTTAGTGGCAAAGTAGACAAGTAGCCACTAAGAAGTGTTGTCCAACATTTGTGACCAAAAAGGCAAGAATGGAGGAGCAGAAAGCTAAAGACAGTGACCTCAAGAAAGAGTCACATTCCTCTGGTCACATCCAGACCTGAGCCATGTTTCCAATCCAGACCTGAAGATATGCTGGGTTTCCAGGAGGAAGGACCCTACTGCAAACGTATACTATGGGGATTCCCACAATCCTTCCCCACAGGGACTTATGGCCACAAATTCAGATGACCATACAGTGGAGAGAGGAAAATCAACATTTGACACCTACTGGATACAAAATCTGAGTTCACACTGAAACTATTAGCTTGGTGGCTCATGGTGACAAGGTGGTAGAGTGAGGTCTTTACCAGGGTCTAGGTCCTGTGGGCTCACTCCACTAATCCCTGAGTGTTCTATAATTGATATACGAGGGGAGACCCCCAAAAAACAGAATTATCTTTTGGAGGGTGGTCCCCTTGTGGTCCAGGCTTCCCCTGCTAAGTAAGTGTTCTAGGAACTCATCAGCATCAGTGTACCAGCTTGCATTGTTGTGAGAGGCAGCATTCAGCTTCAGTGAATTTTTTCTGGAGATTCTTTCAACGTTTGCCCATTTCATGATGGGTAATTTACCAGGGCACACGCCCACACTATGTTGTGTGTTCAGCAGTTTTTGACCACAAACAACATGACCCCTGTGCCCCACCCTCCCTATTCACCTGATCTCACCCTGAGTGACTTTTTTTGTCTCCCCACATGAAAAAAGTCCTTAAAGGGAAACATTTTGCCACTGTGGAAGAGGTGAAACAAACAATGGCAGAAGCATTAAAAGGCATCAAAATGGATGAGTTCAAAAACTGAGCAGTGGAAAAAGCACCTTGATGGGTGTGTTGCATCAAATGGAGAATACTTTGAAGGTGACAGAGTTTAACATGTGAGAATAAAGACACAATTTTTTATAAATTAATTCCATTTTGAGAGGTCTCCCTCACACTTGTTTCAGGCTTGGCCTCTGGGGTAAGGGCACTCACAAAAGGAAAGGCCAAAAGGAGACATCTGAAATGGCTATACCCCTACCTCCCCTGCCAAGACAGTAGATAACTAATATGAAATCTTAGGGTAGAAGCAGGAGGATAGCAGAGATTGTGACCACTCTTACAGGCCTGAAAGTTTAGAGTGGTAGTCCCTAGAATATGTTCATTTTAGACACCAGTTCAGCCCCTCTGCAAACTCAGTGGGTCTTGGAGAACAACTGGTGAGCTTGGCATGCTCAGCTGAGGAGGATCGCTGACTTCAGCTGCTGTGGTGGGGTGTGGCATCAGTCCTTGAACAGATGAATGAGGTCTCTGGCACGTGGAATGTGCCCATTGATGGGTGAATGCATTATTTTTTGTTCCAACTATATAGGAAGATTGGGAACAATTTGCACTCATGCAGGAAGAACAATATTCCTTTAGAGTTTTGCCCACAGCTAATCTCTCCCCCTCTGTTATGCTCTATAGAGGTCTGGACAGGCTGGACACCCACATAACATGACACCAAGGATGACATCAATGGCATCATACTGAGTCAGTAGGATAAGCAAGCATTAACCAATGAGCCAGAAGTCTTAGTAAGATACACAAACTCCAGAGGGTGGGAGAGACATTCAAGGAGAATCTGAGGACTTACTACTTTGGCGGAATTTC